TCTGGTATGTGATGTAGGTAACTTCCTCCTCTGTAAAAAACAATACGAAACACAAATCATGCAACTATTACCTCAAAGTTACACCTCCAAATCTGATCAGAGGACAGAAACAGGAGAAGCAGAGTGAGCCTGAGAGCGAGCTGCTGGGGCTGACCTCTTCATACAGACCAGTTATCATCACTGCTGCTGTTTCCATAACACTAACTGATTCAAACTTCAAATTCACAACTATGAAGGGAAGAGAGTTACAGTTCACCACCAAATACCACAGTCTCCTGACTTTACCCAATCACCGTTTGTGTGTTTAAGATCGGAGCTAAATGAGCCCGATCCTTAGTATTCTTCACTCTGACTGAAACACTGATGGCTTCTACCTCAGGCTGCTTCCTACCTTCCTCTCTGTAGTAGGTCTTATCAGAGGACGTCTTCACTGAAGCCTGCTCCATCGCCTTTTCAAGCTTCCTCTCATACAGATGCCGAGTGGAGTCTGTGTTCACACAAAAACACTTCTTCAGTATGTGAACAAAGTACAGACACTTATTTAAATAAATGCTCAATGAATTAAAAGCAGTTTTTTGGTTCACATGACCCTTTGTAATGAATGATTTTAATGTCACGTGGATCCATTTTTATGATGTAGTGTAAGCAGTTTCCACATACTGTCCACATATACCAAGCCAGACCTGACGTAGCGGTAGCCTCGCGTTATAAACTTCCAGTATGAAGGAAGTTTCCCGCAACATTTTCCTCATGTTTCAGATGCAGAACAGCGCTCACGTGGATAATCTGCGTGTGTGGAAAACACTTCACGGCGCAAAGCTGCGATCCCTGTGTGTGTACTTACCCACGATGGGTCCGTGTTTGATGCCATACTGAGAGAGCAAGCTGCCGAGCTCCTCGTCGCTTTTCTCACTCAGAGACATCTGCAGACAGACAGACTCAGACATGCTCCACCCTGCGCTCCAGCAGGGAAACCAACAGGCTACATTTCAAAGCCAAACTTTATCAGTCAACGTTTAAGACAGTCGTACATGTTGTAAAGCGTTAACTTCTTTGGGCCCAGTTAAAATGAGTTTTCCCGCAGAAACATAGTTCCGAGAACCGACCTGGCGGCTTTTTGTGTCTCTCTCTCAAAAGTAAATCCACGCTGCCACAAACAAATGAAAGCGGCGCATGAACAAAGCTGACGGTAAAGTGGGCTGAATGTCACTCACCTTTGGAATAAAACGACGGCTGTGCTGCGTGAACTGAGACGAAGGAAAGTCGGGCACAGCAGAAAAGCTCACATGTGGGCGTAACTTCTCCAGAATTTGGAGACGTTAGGTTGGCACACCCACAGAGCACTGCTGATCCTGCTAACCTGGCCTAGCCTTGTTCTGTAGCACGGTTACAAGTGCTTTGCTTTTAAACGAGTAATCAGCGCTCAGAGCGGGTCCAACAGGACCTTTGTCATCGGCAATCTGTGTAACACAATAGACATTCCCCTCCCGCCCCTGCGAGCGATCCATCCTTCCAGCCTGGGTCCCCTACCAGAGGCCTTGAGGATCCTGCGCAGCACCTTGGCTGTTCCTAGGACTGCGCTCTTCAGAGACTCGGAGGACTCCGATTACCACTGGAACCACCGGGAGCTTCACCCTCCACATCTTCTTGAGCTCTTCTCTGAGCCCTTCTAAGCAATTTCATGTCAGAAACTTTTGTCTTCTCTCTCATAGCTTGTGTGTTTTTTGTTGCTGTGAACTGGTGCTCTATTAATAAAACTGAAACAATGAAAC